TTTATTATAAAAGGATGCTAAGTTTTGTCAAATGCTTTTTCTGTGTCTGTTGAGATGATCGTATAATTTTTATCCTTCATTATATTTATATGGTATGTCACATTTATTGCTTTACATGTTGAACCATCCTTGCATCCCAGGGCTAAATCCCACTTGATCATGGTGTATGATCCTTTTAATGTGCTGTTGAATTCAGTTTGCTGGTATTTTGTTGAGAATGTTTGCATCTGTGATCACTGGGAATATTGGCCTGTAATTTTCTTTTCCTATATTCTTCTTATCTGGCTTTAGTGTGAGGGTAATGCTGGCCTTGTAAAAGGAGTTTGGAAGTGCTGTCTGCCCTTCAATTTTTTTGGAAGAGTTTGAGAAAAATAGATGTTATTTATTCTTTAAATGTCATGTAGAATTTACTCATGAAGCTATCGGAGCATGGCCTTTTCTTCATGAGGAGATTTTTGATTGTTGATGCAATCTCCTTACTCACTAATATTCTATTCTGATTTTCTATCTTCATGATGCAGTCTTGATAGGTTATGTTTCTAGCAATTTATCCATTTCTTCTAGGTTATCCAATTTGTGGGTACACAATTGTTTATAGTAGTCTCTTATGATCTTGTCTTTCTGTGATATCAATTGTAATGTCTTTCATTCATAATTTTATTTCATTTACAACTTTAATCATTTGAGTCTTCTCTGTTTATTTTTTTTTAAATCTAGTCTAGGTTTGTCAATTTTATCTTTCAAAAAACCAACTCTTTGTTTTGTTTATCTCTTCTATTGTTTTTCTAGTCTCAAATTCATTGATTTCTGCTTTAATTTTTATTATTTCCTTCCTTTTGCTGACTTTGGGCTTAGTTTGCTTTTCTTTTCTAGTTCCTTGGGGTTTAAAGTTACATTATTTGAGATCTTCCTTTTTTCTTTAGTATTTAATTATTAGACTTAATGTTCTGCTGAATCTTTTTTAATCTTGGCATTTATTGCCATAAACACTTGTCTTAGTCTGTTTTGTGCTGCTATAACAAATACCTGAGATTGGGTCATTTATAAATACCATAAATTTATTTTCTCACAATTCTGGAAACTGAGAAGTTTAAGGTCAAGGCACTGGCATTTAGTGTCTGGTGAGGGCCTTCTTGCTGCATCCTCACATGGTGGAAGGCAGAAGGGCAAGCTAGCCGAATGGTACATGGAACCTCTTTTATAAGAGTAGTAATCCTATCAAGGAAGGAGGAACCCTCATGACCTAATCAACTCTTAAAGGCCCACCTCTTAACACTGTCACATTGGTAACACCTGAATTTTAGAGAGAACACATCCAGACAATAGCAGCATCCATCTTAGAACTGCTTTTACTGCATCACATAAGTGTTAGCATGTTGTGGTTCCATTTTGTTCGTCTCAAGATACTTTTTGCTCACCTGGCTTTGTATCCTCTATAAACTGATGATCCTGCCTTCTACATCTTCATCTAAGAAATCTATGTAAAATATGGACTATGAGAAGGCCAAGGGGAGAGCCTTGAGACACTTCATTAAAAACTTATGCCAACATTGATATCAATTCGTTAATTTGAATCCTCTGACTATGATTATTAGGTTATTTTATTTTAATTTTTTTTTTTTTTTTTTAGATGGTTTTTTTCTCTTTTTACCTAGGCTTGAGTGAATTGGCCTTTTCTCAGCTCACTGCAAGCTCCGCCTCCCGGGTTCAAGCAATTCTCCTGCCTCAGCCTCCCGAGTAGCTGGGACTACAGGCATGCGCCAACATGCCTGGCTAATTTTGTATTTTTAGTAGAGACAGGGTTTCTCCATGTTGGTCAGGCTAGTCTCAAACTCCCGACCTCAGGTGATCTGCCCGCTTTGGCCTCCCAAAGTACTGGGATTACAGGCATGAGCCACCGTGCCCGGCGATTATTAGTTTATTAATCCACCCAGTTGCCCTTATCCAGCCCATATATTTCCATCTTCTCCACAAACATATCACGCAAAGTTGTTGAAAATCTTGGAATTGAGGCTATTGTATTCTCATACTTGCCAATTTACAACAGCAATTAAAAAAATAAAAATATACTGGGAAATTTAGCAAGCAATTTAAGGTTCTGATGAGCATTGTTTCTGTTTTTCAGAATTTTCCAAATAAACCCTCAAAAACTGTTGCTGGAATATTGTACAGGATTGATAGTGGACACGCTTATATAGTCTTTGCAAAATAAACAACACTCCCCTCTTGACGTTGGAATAACTTTTGCTCATTTCCGTAGTCTAGACACCTTTGATAATGTCCATCATCTCTCAAAGGTCACAAACAATGGTCCAGTCCTCTCATTTGCA